TTACAATAGTGTGGAACCCCCCTCCCGCCCCAAAGCATACTGCCTTAGTTTGAATATTCTACAGCTTTTGAAACACACCTGTATTTTCTCCATATGTAACACTCCTTAAATGCCTGAGTCCTGGTCAAGATGACCAGCATGTGCTTAGACAAACTGCTCCGGTGTTATTATCCATTCCAGTCATATTACGCTGAGAAGAAATTGTAACATGATACAAATTGAACTAGGCAAGACAGTCACTGTTACTCGAGAGACTGGTATTGCTTGTTCACAAAACTGACTCAAGCTGAAATCTGGTTCTGGAACTGTAGAAGAATGAAATGATTGTCATCTCTGCTACTGTTAAGTTCTTCACTTGAGACAAGGCACACTTCATCTAAACATCTGGGACAAAGCTAGAGTCCACATTGAAAACTAAGTTAAAATGGTTTTTAAAAGAAACAAAACCAACCCACCACCAAACTCACCCATGGCTAAACTAAGGTTATTTAGGAAATAACGGTTGTCTAGCAGGACCCTGCTGCACCAAGATCAGGAGTCCTTTGAAACGCCTGGGTTATACAAAGCTATCATTTTGCAGGTCATGGTCTTCCTGTAGCAGGACCTTCCAATGATCCATTTCTACAGTGCTGTAAACTGAAAGGGTAACTCAGCACTGACCCTTCTCTACATAATGCTTGTAATACCTAACTCTCTGGCTTGCTGACTTTGGAGTAGAATCTTTTTCACTTTTAAAACCAGTTCCGATTGCAACGGCTGCTTGAGACTGCTCTCTCCTGAGCTATGGACACCACTCTAAAGACTTGAGTTGGCTGTAAGTATTTAAATAGCCCAGATCATTAGGTTTTGGCTATATTCTGACTAGTGTAATGTAGAATTCAGTTTGCATTTTTTCTGTTTTATAGCAATGCTTTCAGTTGCAGTAGGCATTGGCAGTTTGATGATTTAGCATTTAGCCCCTTAAATATATTCATATTTCTGTTTTCTGAACAAATGCAGAAACTGCAGGTTAGAAAAAACTGTCTGCCAGTCAAAACTCATTTTCTAGACACATATATAAAATGGCTTCTAAAATGTTTCTGTCCAACAGGTTTGGTGCCAGTACTAAAGTGGTGCACTTCCTGGGAAGCACAAAGCCATGGAACTACACATATGACTCCAGAACAAAAAGCATAAAAGGCAACATGGACGACCCTAAAATAGTTCACCCAGAATTCCTCAACATGTGGTGGGATACCTACATAGCTGATGTTTTACCATTACTAGAACAGCATGGAATTGTTAAAGAAACTACTACAGGTGTAAACATGGTACGTGCTTTAATAATCTTGTACATCCGTACCCAAGTATGGATGATGGGTTATTTACCATTGCAGTGATTTTCCTTCCTTCTGTCCAACTCAAAGCATGGGTGTGTTTTAGTTTGGGGGATGCAGGGTATTTTGGTTTTGCTCTTTTAAGCTTGGAATAAAAAATACTACAGAAGAGAAGCATGCTGTAGTGGTCTTGAACATAGCTGTATGCTTGCCTAAAACAGTGTAAGAAGCTAACCTTGCACCAGATATTATACTACAGTAACTTCTTTAATATACACAGAGAAGGGACCTAACTCTTAATGTGTTGCAGCTAATAAGGTTCTCAAGCAGAAGAACCCCAGCTCAGCATGCAAATAGGTACATACAGATCTCGCATGGTGAAACAAATTTAGGTAAACCCAGGATAACTAGAGAATCAATACTTACATAAAATGGCAATGATGAATCCCAATACTTATTAAAGCCAAAGTAATGATTTGAACTCTAATTCTCATTCAGAATTTAGTAGCTTGCATCTGACTGCAGACTTCTTAGTCTTAGCTTAGTACGTGGGCCAGTTTAAGTTCTCAACCTTTCCAATACCAAAGTTAATGATCTCTTAAGATGTGCTTTCTCTTGGTAATCTTGCATCTTTCTAACAAACTATTTGCAGCTATCGGGCTTGGTCTATACTCTGGCTTTCTCTTGTGGCTTCTGTAGAGAGGTATGAAGAACTTAAACTTTAATTATTTTTTTTTTTAATTATTTTTTCCCTTGCTAACTTCTGTAACTCTGCTTTGTTATTTTGCTAGGAAAGCTGCACAATCCCTGCCCGTTGGCAATGCTTGCTACTGCGCATGAGAACATCTACTTTGTTGTCCCACTCTTCTATGGCCTGTTGCTCACTTTAGCTATGCAAAGTATTTCTGTATTTTTACTCTGCCTTTCCTTTTAGGCAGAGGTTACAGAGGCAGTGTCCCACTTATCAGTATCACCAGTATTACCAACTGAATCTTCAGAAGAACGCAAGGAACGGTGGGAACAGGGCCAAGCTGACTATATGGGAGTGGATTCCTTTGACAACATCAAGAAGAAACTTGACACCTACCTTCAGTAGAAATGCCTGTCTCAAACAGTGGTGATGCAAGGACTTGTTCCAGAACTAACAGCTAGAAAGGTATAGATGGTGGTCAGTTACACTTGCTAGTAGCTTGATGAAAAACTTCTTGGCTGAAGGCCTCTGCAGTGCTACAGATGAACACTGAGCAAAAGCTAGGAAGCAGAATTCCTTGGGCCACCTATTACTGCCCAATTTCCAATTCTCCCTACTAGATAAAACCAGGTATTTTCAGCTTAAAATTTCTTCTGTTGTGATCAATTGGCTCAAGATATTCTCGAAACTGGGTTTGTTGCCTCACCTCATTAAGGTGATTAGCATTGATTCCTTTGCTTGCTGTTTTAGATGTAAAATCTAATTCATGAGATTGCTCATACACTGGAGTGGTAGCCGTTCTGCTTTACCATAAATGTATTAATGACACTGGGATACATACGGTTGTAACAGTAATAGCACTGCTTTGCTCTTCCAGTCACAATTGCACTGAAATTTTGACCAGGTTCTTACGCACAGTGCCTACAGCATGGCAGAATGCGTTTTTCAGTTCTGTATACTATGGGACTAGTAAACTGAGTTTTATCTGTTCCTTGCAATGTTGCACTTGATACAAAAATAAAAAGTTGTCATGCATTTCTGTCTTCCCTAAACTCTTGAGCAATTAAGGAAAAGGGAGATCCAAAGCAGGCTAACTAAAATATTCAAGAGGTATAACCCTTAAGCTTTGCTAATGCTACTCAGGCTCTCATTAGCAAATGTCCAGCTTTTAGTTCTGTAATTATTTACAAAGTAGATAGTAATTTGCTAGGGAGCTGTTTAGGGCCAATCCCCTTATTAGCTTGCCCTAAGTATAGGATAGAGCAGTGGAGGAAGTACCTGCTGAAGCTACTCACATTAGTAACATGGAGTTTGGGAAGAGGGCCTCTTTCTTTCAAGCGACTAAAGAAACATCATCTCTAACTTAAGCCCTGTACACTGAACTTAGTCTTACACACAGTGGTGATACTGTTTTGGCAAAGAAAGATTACACAGCTGCTTAAGTAACTGTACTTTCCTGATTAGGAAAACTACTCTTTCCATGTGTGCAAAGAGTAAAAGAAAGGGCTTTTTTTGCCACACTCAGGCTACACATACTCCAAGATACGTGGGAAAGCAGTAAAAATAAAGTATGCTGATGACAGAGATTGGCTGATATCTGTACTAAGGTTCAGATTTATCCTTTAGCCAAAAGTCTAAACAGAACAAAAGTAGTGTTCTTTGACAGCTATACCCTGTACTAGTCCAGAAACACTAAGAAAATATTATTTCATTATTTTCTAATAGAGGAGGATTTTGGCTGGAACCTAGTGAGGGTGCTAAACTTTTAACGTAGAGATAAAATAAATAATCAACAAGCCCTCACAATTTGCTGGTAAAGCAGAAGACATAATACGGGTATGAGAGTTAGTCTGTTTTAACTTGTTTTCACTACTTAATTGCTCTAAGATCAGTTAGTCACCATTTAGGAAAAATGCTAAAAGATGAGGTCCAAACCAAAGTAGCTTGTAGCTATTTAAAAGTACATAGTATCTGAACTCACAGTTGAAACTAGCCCTTTCCTGTATTGGTTTTTCTTTTGCTGTGGTTTTTTTTTTATTTTTAAACAGATAAATTTGAAGTTGTGTGAAAGTAGGAGGGATTACTAGTTACAGTCTGTAATGACAAAAATATATCAACCAAGTACTGGAGTTCTGCATGCTCACAGAATACTCTATGGAAAATAGTAAAATACTCTTTTAAAGACAGCTAAAAGGTTTTCCTCCTCTTGTCTGTATTCATACTGGAGAATAGGTACATTGCTTCTTTTTAAACTTAGTTGGAGAGAACCAAGAATGTGTAAAGGTACGAGACTTACTACCTGCTTGAAAATTTGGTTTAGCATGTAAGTTTTGTTACGTTAATACAATAAGATAAGGAGAGATGCTGAATCAGATGAAAACCTGCATGTTTTGGGTTAACAAATATAGCTAGTAAAGAAAGAAAACCTGTAACAATCATTCTGTCCTAGCCTCTGTAACTCATACTGTGGTCAAATGTTTACCCACAGCCTCAGGAAAGTGAAAGGTATGACATCTATACCAAATTCTATGCGGCTTATTCTCAATAAAATGACCTTTATGTCATTATCTGCCACGATTTCCTTCACAACTGCTGCAGGCAGTATTTGCAGAAAAGCAGAGATCCCTTTTCTTCTCTTGCAATAGTATCACTTGATTCATCAAGCAGTTTTCTGCTCTAAACGGAAGGTACTCAAAGCAGTAACTGAATCCAAGCACTATACTCAAAACATCACTATTCAGAAAAATCATAGGGCGGCTTAGATTGCAACTCAAGTATTGGAACTCCATTTGCCTTTATAAAGCATATAATCTAAGGTGTTCCTTAGATGGTGACAACTCAGAGCAACTCTTAGGAGTTCAGAAGCATTTTTTCCATTTACATCTTTATTTTATGTACAAAGTAAAAAAAACACCAAAAAATCAGAATGACAGACTATTAACTCAGTCTTTGGAATTAAAAATAATTCCAAGAGCTCATTTCTAGAACATATTCAAACTCCACAAAAGAGAATGCCGATAGCCAAAGACTACTTAGAGGTCATGAAAAGCAGAAATAAACTCCAAACCACCAGAACACAAGGGGTTTTATCCACCCGAGTAACTGAAGGAAGGGCTCCATCAAATCAAACAGGACTTTTCTGTTCTCAGCTTTGACCTCTATCTGTTCTCTCAGATACATTAATGACTTTGTTGGCAGAGATCATATAGCTTAGTACCACCTTCAGTAAGTTTTTATATGGCTTTGGAACATGGAAACAATTGTCTAATAGAAGAAAAAGATACTAGTAACTGTTTTCATAATGATAACTAAGCCATTCTGCAAAATGTCAGCACATTTTCACACAAGTAATGATGTAGCTTGACTAGCCAAAGATATGGGTCTCTTTCCTGTGGAATTTTAACTTGGAAAATGGAAATAATGAAACAAAGACAAATCTTTCCCTCATAATCACAAATTATTTCTCCAGCTTATCTCTAAATATCAGAATCTGAACCAGAAAAACTTTATGCAAAAAAACTCCCAAAAAAACCAACTTCAATCAGGTTTAGCTCTGGTTTTTTTTATCTTTTGTCAACTTTCCAGTGATAACCAGTCACCAGGGTTCATGCTGTCTTCCATCATTCATGCCCTTTTGATTCCTTTTCTAACAGACTTAAAGCACACTTTTCTCCATAGCTAAGATGCTGGCTTCCCAAAAACTGCATCAGCTTGTTAAGTTACATATTTTTAATTCCTTTCTCACTTCTTTCATTAGCTCACTGTTTCTCCAAATAGTAGACATCTTCCCTTTATTTTCCCAGTCCTTTTCCTGTATTTGCAATTCATCTTACAATCAGCTGGCTGGTATTCTTAGGACATAAGAAGAGGTGAAAGGCATTACAAGCAAAGTCAGATTCCACTTCTCTTCTGCCAAGTACACTTCCCAAATCTAAACAGGACCCAGATATAGCAACCTCTGCCTCCAATGTGAAGTCTGAGCATTAGGGTGAAGGCAGCAGAATGTTAGGTACACACGTATCAGAAGACCAGAATCAAATGGAAAGAAAGGAACAGACAAGAATATTCAACTAATACTCAACTGAGATTCTTCAGTGCTATTTATTAGTTTGTGGTACCTGAACATGAGTAGCTTACCAAATTCTTCCTCCATAAATCACGCAGCATGCAGACCAGCATTCCATAAAGACATGTATGGAAGTGAAAAACACGTAGTTCTTCCACTACAAGTGGAAAAGCAGTGCAAGAAAACTGTTAGAAAGCTGGCAGCTATTAAAATACTTTGTTTAAATTATTGTACAATTATACAAATTGATACAATTTATTGTACTGATTCACTGGCATGTGAGTGGGTTATTATCTACTTTGAATATAGCACAGTCTTACTGTTCAAAGTGTCTACTGAAATTACCAGATAGCATGTTATCAATACATGCCTGTGATTCTAGCATTTTATCCAAACAAGAAAACCTTCACTTTTATAAAAATCATTGGAATTCTTCTAAGAGTAAGTAAAACATTAAAAGAAAGTGTTTTACAAACTGAAGTACTTCCTTTTTACTAGGTCCTGTGAAGTAATCAACAGAGGGACTCCCTCCTCCACCTGTATATTATTCAGAAACAGTACAAAATATTTTAAAATTTTTAACTGAATACCATCTTCGGACATAGCCTGCAAAAGTAAAAATTCCTTACAAAGTGTCACTGACCACCTATTCTGAAACAAACAATCCAGATGATCTGTTTGTTTATCAGGCAACATTGAGACAGAAACACGAAACTAATTCATTTCTAAAGGGTTTTGTCTGAAGGAGGAAACACATACTATGTACCTTTTATCACCTTTTCACCTCTAAAAAAAGATGAAATGCTTGCAAGTTAGAATGTATCAATACACATTTCCGTTTTGAGGGACTTTTATGTATTCTTAAGCATTGAACGTAATAAGCAACCTTTTGAAGAAATGCACACTGGAATAATTTCAGGAGTTTGTGTGCTTCTAAATTAACATTTAGGAGCAAATTTGTTTTTATAATTTATTTGAAGCATTTATATTTTGAGCACAAAGAGAACAAAACTGAAAGTTAGCATGGAACATATAACTTGAAGAACAGTATTATCTAAAACATTAAATATATTATTTACTGAAAATACCACAGGATGAAGCTATAAATCAATCAGAGCCTTAATTTCATTAATTTTGTTTTGTTTCACATCACTTGCTGAAGGCTTTTTGGTCGCAAAGGCTCCTGCTGCAAGTTCCCTCTTCTTGTTCTGAATTTTCAGAATATTTTCCTCCACTGAATCCTTCACAATGAACTGAAATAAAAACAAACAAACAAGCAAACAGAAACACTCTGAAATAAAGATGTTAAATTTTTTTTTTAAACAAAAGTTTAAGATGAGAAATTAAGATATTTTGGAAAAAAATGCTAAGCAGCCTAAAGTACAGTTACATTATTTAGTTACTACTTTGTAAGTAAAACACAAAGAAAAGGGTTGTAAAGCAGTTGAAGGAAAAGGTTTGGCATTTTAATTTTTTAACCTTTTATTTTTTTTTAATTTATTGCAAGGATATCTATTTCTTCTTTGCTTCTTATATTAGAAGAGAACTTGTCTTCAATTTTCCAAGTAATACATCTGTGATTGGATATTAACGAGACAGACCAGCTCTCTTCCACAGCTAATCAAGCTGCTATGACAATGGCAGAAATGTTCTATATACCTTCAAGATAATGAACTGTAATAGCCAGGCTAAGCAACAGCAAACTACTCCATCTCAGTCACTCCAAATAGCTCAACAGGGACATCTGATTTCTAATATTAAAATTTTACAATCCAAAGCCCATACTTCAACAATCCCACCACAATTTATGTTTACTGGTGAGACTATGATGTCACAATTATTTTTATAATATAGTAAAGCTTTTTTGAAAATATTTATTCATAACTAGGAAACTGTTGGGATCATCTCTCAACTCACCTTAGTAATAACAACATTATGCTTCTGACCCAGCCTGTGACACCTGTCAAAACACTGGTCTTCTGCAGCAGGATTCCAAGCCTAGCAGTAGCAGCAATGAACAAGTTAAATAACCTCACTTCAAAGTACCTAATAATATGCACACAGAATCACAAAGCAGATATTGTACCATCACCACTTGAATAAATATTGTTGGCAGATTAATTACTCCCAACCTAATGTCTCACTCCTTAAGTATCCTGCTGTAAAGAAAGCTTTGAGAACTTCCAGTTATATATTCATAACAAGCAAGAACTTCAGGTAAATGCTTTAAAAACAAAGTTTGTCAGGAGTCTAAAAGACATCAAAACAATCCTGTTATTTTAATTCTGAAATAAACACTGCATATATTAACTGCCTCAGTACTCTTTTCCTGATAGCAAAATCTAAACCAGCTGAACTCACGCAGTTACTTAGAAGTAAACTAAGTCCCTGGACTGTTAAGTAAACCCACTTACTCTTTCATTAGTATATACAATAATCACCATGTTACATAAACAAGAAACTTTGCTGAACACAAAATGATAGTGTAGCTGTTCCTGCTTATGCTTAGGATTTAACACTAAATATAAGGATTTGTGAAATGCCAAGTCTGCATTTTTCCAGCATGTTCTTTCTATCTAAAGGTACAGTACTACTAGTTCTCACAGAATAGATAATTAAATCTACCTAACTGTAATAGCGTTCTGTCTCTGCTAAGCAAGTCTCATTGAATGGGCTCGCCTTGCCATGTCATCCACATACTGCAAGTTACCTAAGTACTCTTAATGACTCATTTTAGATTCTAAGAACCTCTGATGCCTACACACACACAGAGACATCAAGTTGCAAGATAAAAATCCAAACAAGTCTTGTTTCTCCAATCTATGGTAGTGATCAAAAGTACAACAAATTATATCTTTGTCACTGCAAGATGAACGTTCCTGGCAAGCTACGTATGGCAAACCATTCTAATATTAATCTAACTGTATGAACAAGATGATGTCTGGAAGAAAGACCTGGCCCAAACATGCAGAAGCATGCATGTTCCATTCTATCTTTGCTGTAGTTGAGGAAGACCAAAATGTACTACTTTACTCTTCTCTCATCAGTCCTGCAAAGGAAAAGTGAATTGCAGTACCTCTATCCCTTTCTGCAATAGCTCATACAAAGGATACTGTATTTTACATGGGAAAATATGAAGAAACTTGAGCCTCAGAGAAACATCTGCATACTTGTGATACTCTTACATTAAAGGTTCGTATTTCTTCCTAAAGGTGAGAATTCAGCAGCTATGATTGTATTTAAACAAGCAAACAAACAATTTAAAAAAAGCGGGGGAGAGAGAAAGTAATCTATGGCTGGATAAATATTCCTCCCTTGCACTGTGGTATTACACTTCTCAGAGAAGGAATGCAGACCTCTAAGCTACAGTGCTACAACAAATCCACAGAATTTGAAAAACTGGTTACTCCACTGGCTCAAGGTATTTCTGCTTCTTAATTCCTACTGTTGTAGGAATGCACTTCAAGGAATGCTGATGTGCGACTGGATCTGATTCGGCACCGACTATTCAAAAGTGAGATCAATAAAGAATCGTGGTCCCACTATCCCTCCATCTAATACAAGTAGTCAACCACTGCCACTTGGGATGGTTACCATCACAGGATGGTTACCAGCAGGATGAGAAGAGGCTGTTCAGTGGTGTACAAAGGCTGCAATTTTATTGGGCTCTGGTTTGTTAGGTACAACTGTATACTGTAGATGATTCAGTGTTAACAAGGCTTAGCTTACTTTCTTACAACTGCTTGCTGCAATACTCAATGCATTATCTCATTCACTATCTTCACAGAAAATTAAAATTCTCTTGCAGTTTCCACAAATATTCAGAGAATTGTTAAAAAAACCCAAAGTGCAGTGGTTGGACTAGATGGCGTTGTGGTCATGTACGTCCCTTCCAGTTGCACCCATCAATGCAACGTACCCAGAAAGAACGTGGGGAAAGATGCATTGCCATTCAGGAAAAACTTCTCCATACTCTTACTCGTATTTAATTCCTTTAGTTTATTAAATAAATAGCTTTTGCCTTTATGCTGTTATTAACACTAGCCTGATGTCCAAGCTAGTACTTTTGCTTTACTATTGGTATTAACAGATGCCCAAGTCTAAAGCTACCCCATTATTTTCATTTACTTTGGTTTTGTTTCTAAGTGCAGAATTTGTCTTAGTTTCCAACTGCCAAAAAACTGGGACATCAGAGGAGTTAACAGTGGTGGAGGAAGTGAACAGAAAAACTTTGATTTTGTACAATGACACAACACATGAACCAATTTTGTTAAGAATACCATTTTGCTATCAATAAATGTAATTTACATTTTAATTCCTTACAAATAGTTTTGTGTTCCTGAGTGCTTTAATGAAAGGAAAAAAACTTCCGAAGTTTAAATATTACCAGTCTTCTAAGACTACAAAAAGTAACCTCAGACTAACGTCTTTATTTATCAATAAATTCACAATAACATCAGAAGAGACTAGAACAGACAAGCACTGCATTAAATATACACTGTTCCTGAAATTCCACTTCACAGCTTTTGAAGTTATTAAACAACAAACAGAAAACCACATTCAAAAATATCAGAAAGAAATAAAGAAGGAACAGATAGCATATGCTACACTGTAAGGTGTCACACCACTCTTTTAGTAGTCCTACTAGCATTCTTTTCATTCACAGTAAATAAATGGACAGCACAAAAATACAGTGTTAAATCAAAAAGATGCCAGGGAAACAAATGAAGAAAAGTCCTACTTGCCCTTTAACAAATACTCATCAGTGTAATTCATTCTCAGAGGGGCTTTCCTTCTACCTCTTAGGAAAACGCCAAAGGAGCTTCCCCCAGATTAAGCCAGATCATTATGAACAACCCATTACTCACGGGATCCATTAAAAACACTCGGGAAGCTGCTGTCAGATTTAATCCAACTCCACCTGCTTTCAGAGACAAAAGCATTATAGTTGCAGACCCTGCTTGGTTGCTTTGGAAACACCGAATTGCTTCCACTCTTTTCTTCTGTGCCATTGACCCATCCAAACGAGTAAAGGCAAACCCTGATTCTCTAAAGAGAAAGTAAAAATGTTCAACTTAACAAGCCATTTTCTGTGACAACAGGAAATAAACAGATTAAAATCCTGACCTCTACTTTGAAATGTGAATTTAAAATTCTATTTTCTTTGACAGATCTTTCTAAGACACTGTAAAAACACATGTTTATTAAAAATAACAGTAGTTCTACTTACTTCAAGGGATTTTCTATCAGCGACAGGAAAGTTGTAAACTGAGAAACGACGAGACATTTAGCAGCTGGATTATCCCTCCGCAGTTCTATCAGAGCATGCATAAGAGCATTTATCTGAAATTAAATGAAGCATTTATCTGAAATTAAATGAACTTAGATTCTATTCCTACAGGTGGCTTTGATAAAGTTCATATCAACTGAGAGAAATCCCTGTTCAGTAATGTCTGTTAAATGAACTCATCTCCAATTCTGTGGGTAGGGTTTCTTTTAATTTCCACAGGAAACCAAGGGTTGAGCATTTTTAATGGTCACAAACTACAGGGTGATATTGAGGGTGCTTTGCTCACAACCTGTTTTCCAGACATACTTCCCACTGTCAGGAAGCAGCAAGTCCCCTATCTCCAGGGTATATGGAAAATAGGAACAAAGTAGTGGAACTCCAAAAAATAAGGCATAAGCAATGGACAGCCACAAGGCAAGTGCTTTACTACAGCAATAGTCAGGAACTGAGAAAGGCTTCCCCCAGAAATACTCAGGCAAATAAGCTATGCAAGACCCTTGGCTGGGGATGACAGGGAAAAAGGACACACCAGAAGCACTCTGAAACCAGCATAAGAAACAAAAGGAACAAGGAACTGGACTTGAGGCAGAAGAACACTGCCAGTTTTCTCATGTAAGGTTTAGCTAGAGAATGCAAGTAACAGCACCAGGTAACAAACAAACAATCTTAATTTATTCTAGAGCATAATGTCCTAAATTAGTTCTTAGGTCTCCACAGAAAGATTTTCAGGGAATAAATTTGTAACCAGCATTTGAAAGAACAACTACTTCATTAAAAGTAACATGCAGAAAAGCAATCTCAAAACAAAAAGGTCAAAATACAAGCAGGAAGATTTAATTTCTGGCAGAAAATGCACAACGAAAGTTAGGCAAAAAAAAAAATCATGTGGCAGACCTTGACAAACAGGTCTGCAAAGTAAAACAACAGTATCTCAGCAGTTTATCTGGCAAGTGTTATATGATGCCCATTTAGTTTTCCCCGCTAGAGTAGAATATATATTCTTTATATAACATGTAAGAAAGAAGGATTTATTTAGATTTTGTTGCCAAAAGTAAATTTAGAGCTGGATAAGTGTCAGTGGCTATAAAACTGCTCTATCTTCAGAAACTGAAACAAAAGACAAAGCCCTTTACCGAAGTTTTATTTAATTAATACATATCTATGTACTGAACAATGACCAGCATCAAATCACAACTAGTCTTCCTTTTGTCTTGTTTCCCTGCTGCAAAATTTGTCTGCAGTGAGATTTTATTACACACTTTCTTCTGTGCTGGCTAGACATGCTGGGTAGACTTTTAAATAATACTTTAAATATGTTATTCACATGTATAATATATTCAGCATATTTACATAACAATAATAGAGTATGCCCTAAAAAACCATAACGAAAGCCCAATAAAACACAATGGAATGTACCTTTGAACTGGATATCCACTCCCGATCAGGCTTCTTTCCACTACTGGAGTCTATTTCCTCTTCTAGGGGACATTCCACCAAGTGCTCTACTTGAAGTTCATTCCTACAGAGAGGGCATTTGGCATTTGGCTACAAAAAAGCCCAAATAACATTACAAGAAACATATTAAATCAAATTGTTTATAGTGAATACTAAAGAACACCTTTACAAATATTATATTGATGTTCATGTAAAAAAATCCTCAGATTCATTCTTGTAACACACTGTCATTTCTGACATGACAGTCACAATATTTTACTTGTGAGAACATTAACATGACAAACACTACATGTTTTAAAAACACTCAGCCTTCCTTAAAAGTGGTCTTCTTTCTGAGCATATTTATACTTGAAATAAGTAACTCAATATTTTAAGGCAAGCAAATATTTGGGCTATGGGGAGATAGACTATTTCAAATATCAGAAAAATAAACCATCCTTCAAAGACTATCTTTCTTAGTTACAAACAAAGAATGACCTTTTACCCTTTTTCTTCAAAGCCTGCACAGAAATAACAGCAGTCTGATGAAATATGCTTTGTCAGGACAAAGCAGGGTATCTTCTCTTTTTCCCCAGCAGACATGAGAAACGAGACATGATTTAACACCAAAAGCTTTTTTCTCTGAAGTATACTCTGGATAAAGCAAAATTTATATAATAGCACTTTCATAGGACTCACAAAATTTAACAAAAAGACTGTGTACACTGTACAAACACAGAACTTTGTGAAGCAAAAATGACAGACATGAAAAACCTTTGCCTAACAGAGCAACCCTTTAAAATTAGCTAGTTCTGTTTATATAGCAATCTGGCCACAGACCCAAGGCATCTTTAGACAGGCTACAAAGCAGAGCTCACAAACCACGGGAATACTGGGGGCTGCTAATCTGGACTGAACTGCCAGCCAATTAAAGAGGCCGGCAGTCACAGTCTGAATACATTAATTTATTGCAACAATAAAGCTATCCTTTCAAGAGACAGAATCTTAACACAAACAAATCTGAAATAACAGCCTCCTAAATGTAGTGAACCAATGAACCATTCCTGATTTGGCACCAATCCAAAAATCCTCCAGTGACAAGACAAAATAAATGAATTCTATTACATCTGAAAAAGGTTTTCTGAAAAAAAAAAATCCTAACAGTGCTCATAAAGACTTTTTTTTTCTTTTTAAATACAAAGCTCATGTCTTTCTGCATCCCTTCTCCACTTTAGTACTGCAATTATAAACAAAACACAAAACACAGCTAAACAGTACCAACAGAGACACCAAACACTTGCAGTAAAAGCATATGAAAATGACCAGAAATGTCTCACAATCAACAGCTAAAAGAAGAAAAAACGTTTTAATGCATATCTGGCAAGTTTTTACAAGAATGCAGTTAATACACAAAGACATTAGATTACTGTAGACGTTTTATAGCTTTACTGGGACTTTTGCATAGGATCTTCGCTTATTTGCACGACTCTGAATTTAGCCTTAGCAGAAGATTGAAATGAAGGTGGTGGTCACTCTCCAGCTGTTAACTACTAAAAAGTTTTTCCAATTTCGGTAAATACTTTTAGGTTAACATTAGAAAAATAAAACGGTCTCCAAGTTCATAGTACAACAAAAGGCCAAACTTTTCACTCAGCAGTTTTGTGTTTGCAGCTTCACATCTCATTGCTCACTGACCGTTTAATGCTGTCATTTGTATTAATAATGGAAAGCACAGGCATCTTGCCTGGAAGAATCCTGTTTGAACACAAGCTGTTTTGGAGAGAGGGTATGCAGTTTGCTGGCTTCCTTTGTTTTTAAGGTGATACCTAAAAGTACTTCCCCGAGCTATTTACTAGGAGAGAGTTGATTTATAACATTCAGGCACACCACTATTCAACTGAGATGCGGTACTAGCAAAAATACCTATCACGTGGAAACACTGAATTCACTGACTTTGGAATTTAGATGTGTGCCAGTGTGGAAATTGATAGATGCAGATTAACCAAGACGGCCACCACTCACAGATGAAGTGTGAAGACAGATTTATTCCATTATTTGCAGGAACACATACACACTACTGAGTCCAAACTTAGCAGAGGCAAAAAGCACCAGGAAGGCCCCAGCCTTGCCTTACTTACATACCAAAGCCTAATGCGTGTGAAAAGGGTCACCGGCCTTCGTTTTCACAACTCTGAACTCTCTATCCCCCTTCCCCCCATGTCTGTGGGAAAGAATGCTTTTAAGTCTTTAACAACGTTCTGTTATCTTCCTTGTGAAAATTCCATTTCTTTCAACAGACAGGAAACAATCCAAAGGAAACACAGGGCATGAAAATTCCCACAGTGAAACACTATTCTTAGCACTCTCAGCTGCAAAGGTATCTTGAGCAAACACAGCTAAAGAAAAACATCCCCTCATCAAATCTTCCGCTTGCAACCCCTTTTCAGTCAGTGTTCAACACAGGCAGCATTCTGGCTGGAAGCTGCAAGAACTTTCTTAGGAATTGGTTTAAATCAGGAATCATTTTGAGGGTAAGAAAGGCTTATAGAAACTCATGATAGTTCAAAAGAAGTTACACCCACCTCTGTTTAGACTTCACTACTATGAAAGTAATCTATGGAACAACATGGTATTGGACAAAGACACTAGTTCTGGAGATTCCACAGTCCTTTCTAGGTAAAACATAGTAAGCAACTTGACTGTAAAGTCAAGTAATATACTATAATAATTCCATCACATCATATCCCAATTTATTTCTCTGCATGTTAAAAACACCTGATGGTTCAGCAGGGGCACCAACTCTGACACAGACACATCAAGAACCTCTGCGCTGGAAAAAGGCCTCTGGCAAGTGCTCTTTCCTTAAAGAATAATTTCACAACACTAGTTTCCCTCAAATCTCTCAGAAACTCTAGAGTGGGATATCTGCATCAGAACCTTATGTATCTGGAAACGGAACAAAGTTGATCTACAAGCCAGAAAGACAACACTACCCACCTCTATCTAATTGACTGCTTATGCACAAGCAAGGACTAATCTGTCCCCTGCCGTCTCCTAATAAAGAACACCCAGGTTTAAGCTGGCAGTTGCAGCTCTACTCTAGCTAGGAGGAGGCAGAACAATTCCAGAGAGTAAGTGCAGCAGCACTCAATACATATGGTAAGACTACCATAGGAAAGGAAAGGGCAAACAAGAAAGAAAAGCACAGCTTAGAAGCATACAAGAAAAATAAATACTATGGTTTTCAAAAAAGCAATTAAAAGATGCTCATCCACAAGTTTATTCTGGATAGAGTCCAGAGAGGGTCATAAAGATGGCCCTCTAACAAGGCAGCTATTTCACTGTAGAAATTTATCAGCTTGGAAAATGGAGCACGGATGTGATTTTTGTTCAACAGTCAACTTCCAATACACAGCTTTAGTCTCTTTTAAGCACAACATACACATATATGACACCACACACAAGCAGTGAAGAAGCATCCAGCCACATGGAGGCATACAGTGCTGCACACTTTGACCCTAGGGACAAAGTAAGGTGAGAACTACGGAATCGGTCTTTGATCAGTGGTAAGGTAAGGTCCATGAGTATTTTCAGTCTGACAGCTACTCTCCCCACAGTTTGACTTCAGACCAATAGCTTTTATAAGCCAGCTGATAACTACATTTACACTGTTCACCGTGATTTAAAAGAACAATAGCTAGATGGCCTCCTGGTGATACTAGTTCATTGCTTTCGAATAGCTATTACAATTAATTGTAATCATAGAACAACCAACCTGTTCATTTCTGAGGACTTCAAAAATACATGGTTTACAAAACACATGTGCACAGTGTGTTATCACAGGAAGAGTCAATGATTCCAAGCAAACTGCGCATTCTTCATCTGAACCAGAGCTCAGAACCAACTTCATTTTACTCACTAGTCTCACATGCAGTTCTTCGGGAGTTCTATTATCTGGAAATATAGAAACGTACTTAAACCCAGAGATTTCCACAAAGGAAACACTCTGAACTCTCATGCATCAAAACAGCTCCACTGGTCAAAATGCAATTAGAATAGTTTATACACAATGAGGATATAGCCTACAATGTATAAAAACACAAGATGCCCCATACTACAGAAAATTTTAACCTACTAATTCAAAACACATTATGAGTAATCATACTTGGAAAAACAGTAATTTGAATTCAAAGAACCTCGACTGTATGCTCAGTGGTAAGTATATGTGCAACACAATGCCTAATGAGAACAAGCAATTTTCATGTGGCAGCTGTTCAAGTAGCAAAAATCTTATGAATATGACACTACTTATAGTTAAAATTGCTTCTTTTTAAGTAAAGAAATTCAATTAATACTTACTAGTTATTAATTAATTTCTAAATAATTATGGAACAATTATCAAATAATTTCTCCATCCTGTAATTTTAAGGAAGATAAACAGCAACCTCCTGAAAAAGGTTCTGACCATATCACTGGTCTTTCAGTTTCCTGAAAAATCACACCCATGCCAATGGCATCTCAAAGTAGGCTTTTTCTAAATATTACATTTGCAAATTCTCAAATTTAAAGTATTTCAAACAGACTATACTTTCTTCTGAAAGTATAGTCTGTTTTTTAACGCTATTTTTAATGCTATGCAGTTGTACAGTTCTGGCTTGTCAAAAATAAAACTTCACTCTCGGTCCTCTGTGTTCACCCTTCCTTACAGCTGTGACAAAGTCAACAGTGTCCTATTCTGCTGAAGAGGCAATGGTTCTGCTGACACAGCTATCAATTTACAAGCCATTCCCCAAATCTCCTCTACATCTTCTCTCCTGAGGCAAAGGAAAAAAATCTGCTATAAAAGCACTTCTGTAAATTATTACAACAACAGATATGCTGCTTTTTAACGAGCCTTCTGCATTTGGTTCTGCAGAGGTCCTCTTTGGTCATTTCTGTATGGGCTGTCAAAGCTTATTAACTCTTGCTTCTGGCCTTCATAACTACTCATACTTCATTACTTCATTCATATGTTAGAATGTGCTCGAGTATCCCCTCCTGAAACATATTCAAACCTATTATGGTACAAAAAAATAAAGTAACTGAAGGAAGCTGAAAGTTCAATAATCCATGCTGAAAAGAGGATGGCTGAAGCTAGAGAGCTTGGAAAACACAAATATATTTCTGTTCTTGAATACAAAGTGCCAGTTCTTGTTCTTAAAAACCACAGGAACCAAAAAGTATTCACTCACCATTTGAAAAATTAGCAGAGGTATTTATACAAAGATGAGGATGACAACAAATCTGTCTTAATCTGAGCAGAACACCAAGGACGTCAGCATAATGAGCTAGTACATTCCCTTCGCTGAAAAGTCTGAGTAAGAATTTTATGGTTAGTGTGAAATACTACAGCCTGAAAAAACAGATGACATTACATGATAAGAGTTTAGCTGTTACAATGATGTTCTGATTTGATTGTTCACTTTCTGGTCTGACTACCTTTTCTCAAATGCTCTTCTTAAGGTACAAAATGCTACCCGTAGTATGTTCTACTAGGAGAAACGTTAACACATGGTGACAAAAGCTTTAAGGCCGTTCTTTACATATCTGGTATCTCCTCCCAGTTCTCACCAGACAGAACTTCTAATATATAGTTCTGTAACACTCTCTGCTTCACTCTTCAGAACTGAACAGATGTGAAGATAATTTGCAATTATTAGCCTACAACATACAAACTGACACACTTGGCTACTACAGCTAACATAATCAAAACTTCTGAAATATAAATTTGTGGTATTAAATTTCGATCTTCAGGATAAAGAAAACCTCTGACGTACCTGCTAATAGTAGCTTTGCCCTCATTCTTCACAGACTGGTAGATTTGTCTCTCCTCCTCTGTAAGCGTAACATACTGAATAAGTACTTTACGTTCTGGTAAGTGCAAAATGGGTGTTCCTTTAACTTGACTTGTTTTAGATCTTCTAAGGGTAATACTCCTAATCAGAGACTGTAAACGCCTAAAATATACATATATAGACAATATATTACTCAACTGGCGTTGGTTTGGGTTTTTGGGTTTTTTTTTCTTCAGTTTACTGCATAAATTCATGTTTTGTACAAATTTCAAGCCCATAGTACAATATAACTCATTAATCTGAAATATAAACAATTTTAATTATTTGATATTTACTAATTTGAACTAAAAAAAATGAAATAAGAACTGATGATACATGCATTTCAAATTTAAATGTGAAACATGAATTTGTTGTGTGGCCCAAGCACTGCTAGTTATACTCATTCACAAACCCTTTGGGAACACTTCATACCGAAGTCCTCCTGGAGCTCCCATTGTGACTGGACGTTGAATTGTTCTGTGCCACCACTCTCGATCAGTAAAAGGTTTCAGTTTTAAGAAGGAAATAAGAGACCACAAATCTTTTACAGAATTCTGAATAGGAGTGCCTAAACAGAAAATGAAGACAGTAAAACCTCAAGGAAACTAAAACTCACAAATTTTTACCGAAGTGCAAATTGTGTGCTTTCTCCTAATCTCAAAACTAGGTTGGCATGTCATTAAGTATAATATTTTTTTTTTAAGTAAAATATTACAAAACACTTAAATACATAAGAGTGAGCAAACTGCAGCTCTCAGTGTCAGGATGTTGGATGTTATCTTTCCATTTCAGCTTCACCACCAGTGGTCATGATCTTTAAATTACATTTAAGGGTCATATGCTTGCATGACCTGTGGCAGTTTTTATTATTTCATAAAGCTACTGAGGTTTGGATAAGTATGTATCAGTGTAAGCTTCTAACCAAATGTAACTTGTTAACTTCATAAATAGGTCTGTTTTCACTTGTACTGCCACCAAACTTGTGTATCAAAAGTTATTTTGAATTTTCTCTGTAATCACTGAATGGGTCAGGCTAGAAGGGACCACAGCAGGTCATCTGGTCCCACCCTCCTGCTCAAGCAGAGTTAACCTAGAGCACATATGGCATAGGATTGTGTCCAGACAGATCCCATGAGAGAGACTCCACACCCTTTGTGATCTCCAGCGCTCGGTCACTGCACAGGAAAGAAGTTCTTCCTTATGTTCAGGTGGAACTTCCTGGGCATCAGTTTATGACCATTCTCTCTTGTCCTATAGCTGGGCACCCCTGAGCAGAGTCTGGTCCACCCTCTGACCCCTCCCTGCAGACACTGACAGACATGGATGAGGTCACCTCTCAGTGTCTCTTATTGAAGCTGAACAGCTCCAGTTGCATCAGCCTTTCCTCAGAGAGATGCTCCAATCCCTTCATCATTTCCACAGCCTCCACTGGAGCCACTCAGGGAGCTTCATGTCCTTCCTGTCCGGAGGAGCCCAGACCTGGACACAGCACTCCAGCTGTGCCTCACCAGCGCTGAGCAGGGGGCAGGATCACTTCCCTGACCTGCTGGCAATGCTTTTCCCAATGCAACCAGGATCCCATTGGCCCTCTTGGACCACAGGATACACTGCTGCTCATGGACAGCTGCTGGCTGTCCACCGGCACTCCCAGGTCCTTCTCCACAGAGCTGCTCTCCAGCAAGTCACCCCCAGCTTGTGCCGGTGCATGAGGTTATTCTTCCCCAGGTGTAGGACCGTGCACTTGCCCTTGTTGAATTTGGGGCGTTCTTCCCTGCCCATCTCTCCAACCTGTCGAGGTCTCTCTCTGAAGGGCTGCACAGCCCTGGGAATCAGCCACTTCTCCAGCTTTGTGTCATCAGCGAACTTGCTGAGGAGGCATCTGCCTCTTTATCCGAGTCACCGATGAACAAGTTAAACAACACTGGGCCCAGCACTGAACCCTGGGGGACAACACTAGTGACAGGCCTCCAACTAGACCCTGTGCCACTTATTACGACTCCCTGGCATCTGCCGTTCAGACAGTTCTCAATCCACCTTAACTGAATAAACAAAAAAATAAACACACGCCCACCCCCACAAAACCCCCAAACAAACAAATATGCAAAACCAAGCAAAAACCCCACAACAAAACAAAAAAACCAACCAAGCAAACAAAATCAAAAACCACTGAATGAAGACCCAACTAAATCACTGCTCAAAGACAACATTCCAAATGAACCTGAGATAGGCAGACATTAACTATTTCCAAAAAAGCCAAAATGGAAACACCATGTGGGAAACACAAGATGGTGCTCTACTACGGTAGTTTGCATTGCATTTCCTCTGGCGGCAAATATTTTACCTGTAAGTACCCATCTTCTATGTCCCTCCAGATTTAAGGCAGCTTTAGTTTGCTGAGCATTTGGGTTTCGTATAGTGTGCCCCTCATCCAACACAATTCTCAGCCACTTGACTTTGTGCAAAGGGCTATCACCTCTGATCTGAAAAACAGCATTTTTTTTAATCTTTGATTCAAGTTAAAACACCTTTTCTTTCAATTTGGATAAAGCAAGATACTAATACAACAATCCCACAGTTGAAAATGGATAGTATTTATCTGCATCTTGTTTATTTATCTGCACAGAAAGGCAAAACTAAGAGTAAGGCCTTCCTGCTTTTAGATTTATTGATTCCTGGAAAATGCTACTGATCTCCTCATACTTGAGTTACAGTAAAAATAAGCTAATGCTGAAAAGAAGAAGCGTTTCAATATGGAAAATGGATCAGAGAGCAAATTAGAAGTTTATATCATATTTAAAGATGTAATCTTCAAGCTTTTAAAAATGGTTGTCATTTCTATGAAAACATGACTTTACAAATACATCTCATGCAATGAGCTACTTGGTTGAAGCCCATGTGCAACAAGAACTATGAAGTTATACTTTTATATGCTCCATATTCTTCAAATTTGATAGGACAACAGAAGTGGGAGCTTCATGCCACCAACATCTGGGGAGATTTGCATACTTGACACCCTTTTCTATCCTTAAAAAGTCCTTTCCTTAAGTTGTCATAATTGCAATCAAATAATTTTCTGTAGAGAAGCAGTTAATAAAAAACTCTGTTACCACAGTGAATACATAAGAAAGTACGTAAAAGTAAAACCACAGCTATAATCTTTTGACTGCCTACCAGAATAGCACTTGAATATACTGCCATCATTAGCCCAAACACTACGAGTTCTTAACAGTAAGGAATCTTCAAACACCTTCTCATTTACTTACCCCATACTCAGTAGCTAAAATGTTGTATGTTGTCAATACAATGTCTTGTTCTGAAAGAACTGATGGGTCTTTGCTACGGTCAGAACCATAATAAACATAAATCTTTACATCAAAATCACGGTGGATATGTTGTTCAAACTGCTCCTGAAAGAAAAGTTGTGAAAAGTAATCAAAAACGTATTGTGTTACTAAATGATTGTTGGAATTATTCTTCTTGTAAGTTATTATTAGTAATATTATTCTTGTAAGTTGCCTTACCTAAAACCCACTTTCTCTAGCTCTACATCCATTTATACAACAAAAGCAATTTGAATTTGGGTTGCTTTTTACTCTCCACCCAGGTGTGAAGATGGACCAGAAGTAGTCACCTCAATCATTAGTAACAGACATTGTATCGCATTGTGGTAACTCTAGGTTTACTTCTTACAGTGTATTGGTTTACAAACTGATGGTATATGCACTGCAAAATGCACTGTTCCTTACAAACTGTAAGGAAGAGCTTTTATGTTCTTTTTCACTTTCTACCTTAAACATCTCTTTGTTTCTTCTTTTACTGTTTGTTTTTTCCTACTTCTCATTACTGGGTTAACCAGCTAAGTTTTTTTTAAGCATAAAAAAGTTCTGTTAGAAAAAAATTCAAATATTAATTGTAAAACCAGTGTTTATATTCTCTATATTTGTTCTGTGAAAGACTCAGTATACAGTAATCTTGACAGACAATAAAAATCAACAATTTTATTTCTGAAGCACCAGACTCAAGTTTTCTTTTAAAATACTTAATTTGTCTTGAATTGACAAAAAGTACTTTGTTTACACTATCTGATGTTTCTCAATTATATGATTTTCATGTTTCACCTACAAAGATTAAACTAATGTTCTAACCACAGACAGTAAAATCTTCCAAATGGAATACAACTTGCAAGCTAAAGATATCTCCTTAATATTTGTATTCAAAATGTCATGAAAACAAAAAATTTAACTAATGCAGAGACAGAGTTAGAACAGTCCTTCAGCCTTTTCCCCATAGCAGATTTACTCCCACAGATCAGCACCAGTGTCACCAAATTACTGAACTCCTCTAGTAAATCAACTGTCACACGCGTTATCAATGAAGTACGAGAACATTTCATTCTGAGCATGTAAGAAAAAGGACCCATTTCCTCCCCCTTCCGCAGCTTGTTTAAAGAGGTAAATCACACAAGTTCCAGAAGTGACAAAGTGAATCTGCCTAGTCAAAAGCAGGGAATGGAAAGAGAGCTCACTACTGATGGAACTGCACTCTCCTTACAATACTAGTCCAGTTTTGTATTTCTATCAAATCAATCTCCCTTGTGAAAGAAGCTGTTTCATAAAAAAGGAAAACCACGACCTTTTACTATCATGAGAGACTACAGGGAGTACTATTTCTACAGCATCATAATCAATATAGATTACATTTACATATTAAAATGGCTTAGCACCTACAATCCAGTTGCTTAGGACAGACAGCGGGCACACAATCAGTGTTGCTCTGGGGCCATCATCAGAATATTTCTTCTCAACTGAATGAACACTAGCAGTACCTGAGAAAACAGAAGCCATTTAGTGGTGAAACAGTTCACTTTAAAGCAAAGGAGAAGTTACAGATCCCTGAAGTTCTTCACCTGAAGAGCATTAAAGCAATTTAAAAAGACATATGCTTCATTTATTAACTGTGTAATATTTAAGCTTAAAAACCCACAGAAATCACCAATTCAGCCCTTCGTTACCTTTTCTCTTTCTTTGTCTTTTTAAACAACCAGATGAAGGTAGAAGAACAGATACTGGATCTTCTTGGTTAACACAAGAAGTTGCTGTAAAAAGCCAGATAAACAGATTTTTCACACCATGCAGAGCATGTGCCTAAATTTATTTTTATGACACGTTTCATAAAAGTCAAATTTGTTAGCCAAAGTACTTCGCCTCTCCAGTACAATAATATAGAGTCTCTTGTGTTGGAAGGAATCCATAAAGATTATCAAGTCCAACTCCCTGTTCCTCACAGGACTGCCTAAACGAAACCATATGGCTAAAAGCAGCCTCCAGACATTCCTTGACATCTGACATGCATGTGTGCAAAAATACGGTATATTATACATCAATTTTAAGTTACAAATCTTCAGAGGAACACAGTTTCCCAATCATTTAAAAATATGTAGTTTAGCACAGGTTTCACCTCAAGTGCTTTAAATCTAAACTTAACTGCTTACTCCAGAGTACCTGCAGACCTTAATATTTTTTTTCCATGCAAGACACTTAGTTCAACAAATGACATATTATTACCTCTTCATGATCACATTTCAGGTATTTGCTACAACAGATGCTTTTCAAACCCTACTGCCCTCACAACAATATCAATTGTCAATATGTCAAATTCTAAAAATCTTAACAATTCTGGTTTTCATCATCCATTTGACCCTGCTCACAGCTTGTTACACCACCAGTCACTCAGCAAAGAATACAAACTACAACTGGAGTAAATATTTAGGATTAAAATACTGCTTTCCCTTTCAGCAATTTCTAAAATTTTATGCTTAAAGTTCTGGTTAAATAAAAAACAAACAAATAAAAACCCCCTAAACCTACCAACCAAACAACAACAGAAAAAACCCAAGTATTTTAGCTAATTCCTTTTCTGGTTAATCAGAAATCCTTTCCAGTTTGGCTGTGAAAGGAAGACACCAGGTGTCACAGTAACCAATTAAAAAACCACAAAAACATCCTTGCAACTTACTTTCTGTTTGTTGCAGTAGCCATTCTTCAGACTCTTCCAAGTCACTGTTTCCCAAATGTCTGGGTTTCTTGGCTTTATCTCTAAGATATAATTATTAAGAAAGAAAAAATGAAAACAGAACAAAACAAACCCACAAGTCTACTATTGCTTGAATTTACACATTAAATCTCACGAGCAGAAGGCAAATTAATTTCATGTTGCAAACAAGATACCGTGATTTGAAAATTTTCTCTTCAGAAGAGTTAGAAAAAGGGAAAGCACAGGAAACAGCTGCAGAGTGAATGATACTCATAAAACTTGCTATAGATTATCACTGAAGTTCACATCAATTATAAGATTGTGGTGGGAAGGTTCAGACCCATTAATAAGCTTCACAACATCAGACCAAAGCTGTCTCTGTCATAAGCATGCCTGCAAAGTATTTCTTAACCACTTAAAAACCCAACTGATACTAAAAGGAAGATTATTTCTTAGCCAGTTTTTTAGATGCCTTACATAGATGTTATTAGGCACCTTTACTTCTGAATGAGATATACAAGCATGCAGTGACAAGCCACACAGAACGGGTTAATGCTTTTTTAATATGTTCCAAAGTGCAACTCAAATACAGAACAGTTAGGATAAATGTAAGCAGAAGCATAGAATATTGAAAGGTGAGGAAGAGAACAAGTACGTATTTTAGACTAAAATTAATTATAATCAAGTACCACTTTAATTTTACTCAAAACCTATGTAGCAAACGAACAACAAGACTATTCCAGCTATATACCTTTTAGGAAGACAACTTGGGTATTTCAATGGAGTAGTTCCGAACTTTTTTACATTAGAAACACCAGGCTTCATCACATTGCTAGAGTCTTCACAAAGAAAAAATGGGTATTTATGAAAAATACACAGAGCCTTTAGCTTGGTTATCAAACCAACTTTAGCATAACTTGATCAAGAACAAGTACAAACTTCAAATAAAACAACCTTTAGCTGTTTAACAACACTTACTACTGCATGGGACAAGTGTTACTTACTGATATTATGATCACAAAGGAAAAAATAAACAGTCTTAAATATTTAAAAAGTCATAAAATGTGTACTGGGTTTGCAGGTAGTCAAAACCGAACTGTCAAGAAATAGGAAAAAGCAAATGAAAGCATTGTACATTTAACAGTAAGGGTAAAGTTTTAAATAACACTAAATTGTAAAGGTTTTTTACAGATCACACCTCTAAATACTAATAATGATATCTACATTGCCTAAAACCTGACAACATTACAGACTGCAGAGGAGATGTTATTTTGTTTTGCTGGGTGTTTTTTTAAGGTCTTCTATTACGAAGTGAACAAAAAGTCACCTCTGCAACCCTGATGAAAATAGCATACCAGAAGCAAACATACAAAAAAAAGACATTAGAACAGAGTTGATATCAAAACTGAAAGCAACATTGCTTGCAGAAATAGTTTTGCTATAACTCAGGTAAGTAAATTCGTTCTCGAATTCCAGATTTAAACTTCAGTAAATATACGTATAAATATATTTGTAGAATTAAAAGAAAGTTTAATACAATCCTGAAGAGGGCAAAATTTTCAAAGATTCAAGAAATAGGTATCAATTTAATGTACAACAGAATCAGAAATGGGAGCGGGAGAGTGTAAGGCTTTGAAAGACATTATCATCACTTTTTCAGATTAAATAATAGTAGAAACAGGCTCTTCTCTCACGGCTGTAAACAGTATTTCATTAAAATGCTCGATGCTCTAGAAAAAAAAAAATCTTGCATGCTGCTAGCCATGTCAGCTTTGGTAAAGGTTATGATTTTCTGGTGACACTCATATGACTCCCATTAAAGTATGCATTTTCTCCCTTCCAGAGAATTGACAAAAATAACTTTCACCAGAAGCAGTTCATACTAATGTGTTCTCTCCTTATTGGTCCCTTTTATTTCTCATGTGCTACCATCTATATTAAAATTCCTTCCACGGGAGGACAGCGAGCAAAAGTTACTGCAAGAAAACTTCAAGCCCCATACATTTCTTCAGTCATTTTCAAGAGCATGATGAGTTATAAAACATACTAACAAGCATGTATAATTTTTATATACATCTATAAATTCTCCTAATACAACCTGAAAACTAGAGGTGTGATAAAATCTTTCTAAATACTTGCAATTTCCTCATTACCTTAAAATACCTCCAAAAAAAGTGACTTAATACCGAACCTAATTACAATTTAACTACTGATATTTACTGTTTAAATAAACAAGATTTTAACAGATGCATAAGTGCTCCTGTTTTACTTACAAGGAAGGAGAAAGGAAAGCAAAAAGATCTCAGAATCCATTTCCTGAATGTGGTAACTTTCCTAGCAGGGTGCAATTTTATCACAAGGCACTTAATCTTCTCATGTGTCAACTGAAACACTTTAAAGGTACGTTTTATTTACTTCTCCGAGATAGTTTGTCAAGGGTTTGTGAAGACTAGCACTGACCACAGACAAAGAGTGCCCCAGGTAATAACATTAATTATCATGCAAACATTACTAGACTAGTAGATTAGTTTGCTGTCACCTTTACAAAGTCCGTGTCCAACGCTGTTCATGCTGTTAGCAGCAGATTCCTATTGAGGAATGGAAACTTTTATTCTTTAGTGTAGCAACTGGAAAAAATGCCAATGTTATTACACTAAAATGACTATCGATTAATTACTTCTCTGAAACATGAAAGACTTGCTCAGTGGCAAGTCAGTCACTCAAAGGTACTGATAAACTTGTTTTTTTCAGCAGCCACATACAGAGTTTAAATGCAACTGTACAGAAGCAGAGGAGAGAATCTCAGTCTACACAGCTGTCCCAGAACACACTAATAACATTTCCCAGTTTAACATTCTGAGGTCAAACACAAAGCATTATTTTGTTAAAGTTAGATGAGTATGGTAAAACAAACCCCTAGCCTTAACACTGTCAGGGAATATTGCATAAAACATCAACTAATTCTAGCATTTAGTTTATTTCACCATCTTGAAAATCATGTCATAATGAAAGCAAAAAGCACTTAAGTACACTAACTAAGCAGAGTTTGTACACTGGTGTTAGTTCACCAACTGTAGTTTCCCCTTCTCTCCTCATTTCAAATACTGGGCAAAAATATAAACTGAGATTGATTGATTTATTTACTTTACATCAAGACCCTCTGCTCGCTTTGGTCATTTCAGGTACTTCCTCCAAACCACACAGGAATTATGCATGCCCATTCCCAGAAAAAACACCACGTCTATTTGTGCAGCCACAACTTACCTATAGGAGAAATCTGTAAGAAACCTCTAAACAGCAAAGACATTTATGTCATCCTAAATTCTTCCCTAGACTATATGTAAGCATACGCTCCTAAGGTAACAGTCTACAGCTCAATTAAACACTCTGAAATAACACAGTCTACCTACCTTCAATTCATCTACCCAAACTCCTCTCGTTTGGCATATTTGAATAACTTTTTCTACAAAACGTATAAAAAGTTCACCATACAAAAACTTACTGTGCACAGGTATTTTTAACTGCTGTATCAACCATTAAAACAATCTTTTTCTTTCATCTCACCTCATAAAACTTATCACTTGTGATCTTTTCAACAGGAAGGGGCTTGCCATCTTGAAAATTTGTGAGAATCAATGCAATAGTAGTAAGTGTTTTACCCTGCATAATAGAAAAGAACATCATCTTTTCCACAGACGAAAACAAACCAAATGATCAACCAATCAAGAAGCATGCACACACATTCTGTTAAAAAGAATTCAAGCTTGGCAAGTATTACCAGTCCCATATCATCAGCCAGTATTCCTCCAAGAACATTTTTAGGTCGTTTCTTTTCTGCATAATTTGTCAGTGTATTGTAATAGAAGTTACTTCTCTCTTCCCAAAATGGTGGCAAATCATTAGTGTTTTCACGTGAAACCATCCAACCTAAAGCCTGCTTCTGATGGGGAAGTAAAAGTGTACCAATAGCCTGCAAGTCAAAGATATACATGATGCATTATTCCCATATTAAATATGACACTCCATTTTTGGAAGAAAATTTTTTTATAAAGTCCTCTGTATCTACTTGATTTTTTTCTGATTCAAGTATCTTCTGTATCCAGACAAAAGTAAATATACATCTAGATGCTTAAGTAATTGTATTTTTAAAAGAACAGTTTCTAGCTTAAAAAATACCTCTGCTGCTTCCATTTCACAAGTTTTATCGTCTTCCTTTAGGTCCTCAAACAATTTGTCAAATTCACCTTTAAGCTGAATAAATGAACACAAAAATTGCAATTAAAAGTATTGCAATTAAAAATAACCTCACTAAATAAACAATTACTTTATTAATTTACAATTACTTGACATACAGTAATCAGTAAATATAGGTCTACCATTTTAGACCTGATTTGCTATACTACAGCCAAATAAAAAATAAGTTCAGTTTTACCAAGAAAAATGCAAGCCAATATGAGCAAGAGCTTTGGAAGGAATGGTTAAATATATTCACATCCTTGTCCAATACTCACTAAAGTAACTATTTCGCTCTAGTTTGAAAGAGCAAACAAAGAGCAAAACCAAAGCACCACCCAACCCTTCACCTATCAACCTAGACCAAACCTGAAGACAAAATCCGGAAGTCTCATTTTATTTTGAGAACTTAACATACCTGTTATCTGGTAAAGCATTAGGTCAGAGAAAATAAAACATGCCACAACAATGTAAAAAAACTATTGAACAACCAAAACCTCCCAAAATCACACAGCACTCAAGGCTGTCATAGCTAAAATGTCTGCCTACAGTACAAAAAATGAAAAAAATTCAAAAGTTCAAGATGACTTCAAAAGACATCTGTGGTCAGAAAAGAAATAAAAAAAGCAACAGACTTCCACTTCAGAAGCACTCTTTTATTAATGAAAAAGTTAAGGGTTCCCACTGTTAAAATTGCAGCTCCCAGCTGTTTAAGTGTGAAATGCAAACCTGTTCAGTTGTCAACGGCACAGCAGCATGAACCGGAGCGCTGTAGCTTGGACCAGCTCTCCCAGAAATCCACTTTGATCCAAAATCATATTCTGAACCTACTTGCCATTAAAAAGATAATACTTTGAAATTCAGTGATACCATGACTTCCCAATCTCCACATTCTCTGGCTCATGAGCAACAATGCCGGTCAGACTGTGGGCTATCAAACAGTATCTTTCACCATTAGTCTTTTAGCCTCAATTTATCCTTGACTTTCAGTGACTGCAAAGGTTTTCCACAAAGCTTAAGACCCACAGCTATGGACTGGGATCCTTCAAGATGGCAACCATGTTTCTTAAAAATTGTTGCATTACGTGAAATTTGACTTGGTGATAGTATGATAATGATAACACAAAATACCTTTTTACTCCAAACTCTTTTTTTGTTACCTATGCATAATAGAACCTACAATACAAAAATCGAAATCTTGCTATATGTAAAACACATCTATCCCTCACTAAATGTTTCTTTCCGCAGCATCCTTACTCCTGACTACCACTGCTTGAACAGAGTCTAGGTCCAGGAGCCACAGGTGGTTTTTTGTGTCAGGCTCACTCTGAAAAGCATCAGGTTTGCTAAACTTATTTGTTCAGAGACATCTCATCCGCTTGCTCATTTCTCACTAGTAGGATACACATCCTAGCACTCTGCTAAAAAGCAGCACTTTCCCTGAAACCTTCACCATGAAAGGGTGTTTCTTAACCTGTTTCTTAAAAATTTTTTTCAAGTCTAGAAAGATGCAGGGGATCATTATGGATTTTTAAGGAACTTACATAATCTACTATATTTCTGAGGATGCTCAAATGCCTCTCCAATTGCTGGCAGGTAACATAAAAGACAGGACACAAAAGTATACTTCTTATGAAGTTTAAAATTAATAGCTGCGAGTTCTGCATTATTCCCCAACTAAGTTAAAAAATCATTCTGTGAATGACAAGACTAACATGAAGATTAAGCCCTTATAAGCATTTCTTCCAACTAGTGTCAAGTTCAATCAAAACATTTTTAAAAGGAAAAAGCCCAAAATTTCAACGTTTACCTTTCAGAGGAGGAGCCAATTTAAATCCATGCCTTTTTAGCTGATCTAGCACTGCTTCCTTGTTTTCTTCTCTTCCCCAAAAGCTCAATTCCACAGGCATGGTGAAGGAATTTTTTGCTCCGTAAGGGACAATCCTGATAAAGACCAGGAAAAAACCCCACAGCAGTAATCTTTTAATTGTTTAATTTTTTTAATAATAAACCTTTCTTGACCAAGAGGTCCTTCAAAGTGCTTATTTTCATCAAAACACAGAATGTTCCAGATAGGTGATAGTAATCACACTGCGTAAACCTTTTATACAAACTACAACATGCCATTAAGTGTTCCACAACAATCTTTAAGGAATTTGCTCACAATACTGTTTCTACATTTTATTATATAAGGGAAAGAACAAACTGTATGCAAATAGTTCAACAGAATAAAGAATCTGAAAATATGAAGCTTTAAGCACATTACCAAGAGCCGTAATTTCTGTCAAAAGAGAATACTTACAAATAGTTTTCAGAATTTGCTAGTGTAGCAACAAAAAAAATTATTCCATATATTCGTGGAATCAAAAGCATCATATTCACACTTACCCTTCAACCACTGCTAGTTTGTTGTCCATAATCCCTGCCAATGCTGCCGCAAGTTCTTTTTTGATATGGCCTACCTGGTCTCCATTCACATTATTTACTTTCACTGCATTTTTATCATAAGGATTATTGGGCTCCCTCTGAAGTGCAACCATTTCATTGTTATTAACCTAACAAAGCAAAACAGACAAACACCAAAATGCATTCATTTAGTTGCAAATTATTTAAAGAAACATAACATCATGAACTTAAACATCATGAAGCTTAAAGATTAATTTGGCATAGCGCTCTGTTCAGTCAGTCCAATAATCTACTACTTCCTCAAAATACCAAACACATTACAGAAGAGTTCCCTGATAGATGTCAGTGATTTCAAAAGTATTCCTGAGAGCAAGAACTATCTTCAATTGCTAACATGTTTTGTAAGGTAATAAACATCCTTTTTTTGCTTGTGTAAACAGTTTAAAAATCTATCTAATTTCTTGTATTCAGTCACTTTCATTTGCCTTATGTGGATGAGCAGAGCTACCAAACAACTAAACTAGAATTGAAAGCTTGCTATCTTAATTAAATTTTGAATTAAAGTTTTAGATTAAGAACTTCCCATTAAGAATGCTGAATACCGCAAGTAAGGGAAAAAAACACAAAAAAAGCACCAACTATTAGAATTATACCTGGTCAGCAGTTCTATGAATTTTTGAAATTTATTTAAATCTTATTTTCTGAAGCTAAAAACTTTATCTTCTGCTTTGTGATTTATCAGGCACTTACAATCCCTGTGTAGTATCGTAATCCAACAATGCTTCCTCGCAAAGTTCCATATAAGATAGCTGAGTCCGTATCCTCCTCTGCTACAGAAGTGTCACCTAGAAAGTCAAAGTCTTTCAATCCAAGACTGGAGTAAAAGTCAGAAGAGGAAGAGCAGGAGTAGTTTCTCTCTCCTCTGCAGGTGTTATCTTGAGAGCATCCTCTTGCACAGTCTCTGCAAAGACAAATGTGACATACTGGACGGTAATTATTATTGTTGTTTCCTTGTAATCTTTTATCCCTTTATGTAAGGCTATCTATAAACTCATTTTATCACTTTACTCAGATAACATTTACCTGGAAACATTCAAAAAAGTTTTTTACTAGGAAAAAACTGTCTGCCACTTTTAATCTCAAACACATTAATTTAAGCCAATTACAATAAAGAGCTGACAACTGATCAAACTGCAGTATTTGTGTATTCCTATTTTTCCTCACAGGATTATCTTTGTCAATGTTAAGATTTCTCCACATTAAGTTATATCTCTAATTATACCTGGCACAGCAAAATTCTCTTGTATTTGCTTAACATGACTTTTTCTCATCTAAGAAAAAGGCTAAAATGACCTGTTTGTAACTGATTAACTCTGTATAACTTTACATCTGTATCCACAAATGTCGAACAATGTTAAAACAACTGTTCCCTACGTATTTATTTAGTTTACACCTGCACACCTTGACATCTACTGCTAATTCATTATAAACTTCAGAGCTAATCAGTTACTCCAACCCAACCCGGATAATTACACTATGTATCTCTAATACAAACTTCTGTCAGGGCGGGTCCCCTCTTGTTGAAGGGATCCACCTGGAAACTCACATTACTGGGTGACACTAACAATTGCTTCAATCGAGTAATACATAACAGTAAAATCTCAATATGGAATAACAATATCTTTTGGTAGATTCCAAAACTATCCTACTGTGCTGCTGGATTAATTTAAGAGTAAAATCAATTAAAATGCTTCCATATACTATTCAGAGCCTTGCCTAGCAAACTTTGGGATTTTTCTACGAATTATATCTAATTACTGTACTATCGGCATTCCATTTTCTCTGGCAGAAAAGAAGCAACAGTTTAAGAGGCTTTGCTCTCAGCTCATTGCAGTTGAGCCCGTGAGGGGCTAACCAGGAGCCATTTATGCCACTGCC